GATTCTTTCTATTCTCATTATATTATATCTATATTAATTTATTCTTTTTCTTTACATATTATTTATTTATGTTTTCAATATATTATTTATTTATATTTAATTATTATATCTTTTATTTTATATTTAGTGATTCTTGTTTTGTTATTATAATAAATAATAATCATATATTATAGATTTAATTTATATACATACTTCATGAAGAAATTTTATGTATGAGTATTATATAATAAGTAAAAGTGGAAGCAGAATTGAACATGATCGGGAGGGCGAGGAACGTTGATCGCCCCGCCCGCACCGCCCCTCCCCCGTCAGGACCCACAAGATACGAAGCGTCTCCTCGAGAGGAAAGATCTCATCGACGAGCTCCGCCAGTTGCTGCATCCAGCCCGAAACATGACAGCCCAAGATGCCAAACAGTCGCTGCAGACCCTTTCGGAAAATATGGGAACAGAGTGGAAGCTAGCGGCATCTCGGAAAAGTTGGTACACGGACGCGCCGTCTATGATTATAGTGGCTTTGCCAAGCACGGATCTGTCGGAGGGATTTGGCGGGAGTCTAACGCATCATAGGGACAAGGGGGAGCGGGTAGGAGGTCGCTACACGCTGGAGGCGCGCAAGGCGTGCGGGCGGATAAGAGCCATGTTGAGGCACGTAGCACAAGCGCTGATCAAAGCCAGGACTCGAGGGCAATTGGGGCAGACGGAGGAGCGGGGCAATGAGGAGGAACAGCACCATGAGGATGAGGCGGAGGAGTGCGACGATGATGCCCGAGTCTGCTGTTCCCCTTGTCTTTTGCCCCTGTTCATCCTTCCTTCTTTCCTCGCTATCTCCATTCGTTTCCTTTTCATCGGCCATCTTCTCATCGTCCTGCACCTCCCCCTCTCCCGCCCTCCGCCTCGCCCGCGCGCGGCCCCGGCTAGCCGGGGGGCCAAAGTTCGAAGCCAAAGTGGTTGAATAATTTCTGGGAACACGCCGAGGAGGGGATGGGGGGCGAGCAAGAGAGTACGGCAGTGGAGCATTCCATTCGGAATTCATGTGGAGTTCATTCGGACTTTATTCGGAGATCTTCGACCCTAAACTTCGATCCACCCTCTTCTGCACGGGCGCCTCCCCCCCCCCCCCCCATACCCCCCGAAATGGGCGCAGGGGGGGGGGGGCAAGAAGATACTTACTCTCGCCTTCGACAGCGAATCGCGGCGGGAAGGGGGGGGGGGGGGGGGCCATAGTGTTTGTGATTGTACCTGCATTCTAAGAATCATGGTAGCGCATGTTGGGCCGTGTTGTTTGTTGCTCTTTCCAAGGGCAGGGCAGGCCGCGGCTCGAATGTTAAAGAACGGCGGACCACAAGTGTATTCTATTGGCATCGCAGATAATGACGACGACGAAGAGGTCAGAGTAAATTTCGAAGACGGCGATTTCTATACGATACCTGGGATGACCCATAAGCGTTGGAAGGACATGATGAGTGCGAAGCAGCAGAAGAAGGGCAATCAGCATGTAGGGGAGGTTGTGACAGCAGAAAAAGTGCGGGTGTCAGTAGAAGTATTCCATAGAATGATCAGCGATGTAAGGACTCGTCACTTGGGATTGTTTGTTTGGGACTGTCCGCCTCCAAAAAAGAAGCGCATGGTCATTCAGATGGCGGTCAAAAGTTGGTCCAATAGTGAAGAGGTTGATTCTATGTTCAAGAAGTTTGGAAAGCAGGTCGCAGGCGGACATGCATCAAAAGATGAGCTTGAGCAGGTGAAGCAAGAATACATCAGGAAACGCGGCGAAGGAAAAGGCGTGAAGAGGCCCGCCGCCGCGACAAAAGAAGGGCCCGAGAAACCAGAGGAGGCCGATGGCGACGCGCCAAAACACAAGAAAAACAACATAAAAAGGTCGACGAAGAACCGTCGAAAGACAATGAGGACGAAGATGGCGCACCTGGCGAGGGCGAGGGAGAAGAGGAAGAGGCAGAGTAGTACGAGGAGGGCGAAGAAGAGGAGCAGGAATACGATGAAGAAGAGGAGGAGGAGGAAGAGGAGGAAGCTGAGGGCGAGGTGCAAGCGAAAGATGAAGAAGAGAACGGCGACGACGCCACGACGAGAGAAGAGGAGGAGGAGGAGGAGGAGGAGGAGGAGGAGGAGAACGAGGAGGGCGAGGCTACGGCGCAAAAACAAAACCAGCTGGAAAGCAGAAGTCATAAGACACCGATAGGAAGAAAAACATAATGATACCGAAGAAAAAGAAGACGCCTGAAAGCTTTAAGAAATAGAAGAAGAAGACGAAGCAGAAGGCAGAGGCAGCTGTTGCGAAGCCACAGACACCTAGGGGGAAGAGGGGCAAGCACGATGATAAACCTTCGCCTGACAAGGGAAGCGCGAGCGACTGCCAGAAGATGATGGATTTAGAGTTCGGCAATGATTGTCTTATGTGAGGAATGGGAGGGGTGGGGCACTGCCGTAGCATCTGAGATACTGTGCGTTAGGGGTGCTATCTTGCGGTAGGGAAGCGTCGTCGTCCTGATCGTCGCCCCCCCTGTCGTCGTCGCGAGGGCCGGCAGGTAAAGACCGAGATCGAAGCTGGATAAGACAAAGATAACGACAAATATAAAGACAAAGATGAAGACAAAAAGAAAGACAAAGAGAAATATACCGACAAATATAAAGCTCGAGTGAGTGATAGGGGGTGGCGCTCGGGAGGGCAGCGAAGTAGAATAGCGATCGAGGGTCCCATGATTGGCGACAGGCTGCGTCGCCCCCAATCCAGGATTTCGCCCGCGTACTGGTTTTGGGGGAGGGGGTCAGCTTTCAGTGGCCTGGAGCTTCTCCAAGGAACTCAATCCTGCGATGCCGCGCTCGCTTGGATATTGATCCGGCGCTCGGCTTCGGGCGCCCGCGTCTCTGCAGGAAACGTCGGGCGACGGCGATCGAGGGCGATCGGTCTCGCACCTCTTAATCCCCACGCCCACGTCTCTTGTTGCCCACGCCCGTTCCCACCCCCCGTTTCACTCTTCGCCGTCCTCTTGACCGTCGTCGTCGTCGTCGTCGTCGTCGTCGTCGTCGTCGTCGTCGTCTACGCCCGCCGCCTCGCCGCCTTGAGATTCCAGCACCGGTTTGGCAATCGGGCGCGCCCCTGGCGCCTGCAGGGAGCCGCGCGCGAGAGCGTTCTAGGACACGGGGGATCAGGTAAAAGTGCAATCGGATGTGATAAGGACAGAGAAGATGGTAACGCACGGACGACGACGACTAGACGAAGAAAATCGGGAGGTGGAGGAAGGGGCATGGCAGGAGGTAGGGTGACACAGCGGAGAACGAGGATAGGTGTGAGAATGAGACGAATCCACCAGGACGCCAGCGGCGCGATGGCGGAAGAAGCGCCCCCAGAAGGGAGGGCGCTGGCGGACGGCGAGGTGGCTCCCGAGGGCTCCCAGACCCAGCAGGAATCCCAGCATCACGGGTTCTTGACCCTGGCCGACGTCTCACCAGATATGCTCGAGGAGCATGTGAGGGCGTCGCAGAATATGGCGATGGAGATGGGCGACTTCGCGATGGCGCAGCGCATTCAAGAAGAAGAGGACGGACCACCCTCCGCGCTGCACCTCCCCCTTGTCACCAGTTTGCGGGTTCGGGCGGCAGCGCGGGCGAGGTGGGGAGGGGGTGCGAGGTGGATTGCTGGAAAGGCAAGGAAAACGAGAGGGGCGGGGAAGATGGGAGAGCGGAGTGGCGAGAGAGCGGGGTCCAGCGGCGCAGGAGCAAGAAAAGGAACAAGTGGTGCTGGAGGTGGAAGACTCGCCCGAGAAGCCGAAAGATGGCGAGGCCCCGAGTGATGGCCACCAGCCTTCGCCTGTCGTGGCCCCGATCGGATGGATTCAGGCGAAGAGAAAGGCCAACAGACGCGAGGGTGAAGACCCAGAGAGGTTCGCACGCGACGGCGCCTCACCGCCAGCTCGCGACCCCGAGCCACCGAAGAAACGAAGCTGGAAACTCAGGGGATCTGAGGGCAGCTTGTCGGATGCGCTGCTTCTGGCGCACATGCACGGTGGGGGGGGGGGGGGGGGGGGGGGGGGGGGGTGGGGGGGGGGTGGGGGGAGGGTGGGGGGGGGGGGGGGGGGGGGGGGGGGGGGGGGGGGGGGGGGGGGGGGGGGGGGGCGGGGGGGGGGGGGGGGGGGGGGGGGGGGGGGGGGGGGCCTGGAGGAGGAGGTCGCATCCCTGATGACACCTCCAAGGGCAAGGCCGATGAGTCCAATGAGGAAGGGGGCGATGCGAATGGGGAAGGAAAACAGAAGAGGCGTAGGAGAAGGCGCAAGGAGGCCCCAGACGGTGACGAGAAGAAGGAAGAAGAAAATAAGGAAGGAGAAGGCGAACCCAAAGAAGGCGAAGACAATGAAGAGGGCAAGAAGAAGAAGAAGAAAACGATGCCGAAGACGGCCGAAGTGCGCGGCCAAGAGGCTGCCGCCAGAAAGCCAGGGGGATTGAGGATCACAGGGGGTTGATGGATGAAGGGATAGACGGGAGAAGCGGTGAGAGTCAGCAGCGGGGGGAAATGTATAGCGCCGAAATAGGGTTCGCGCCGCAGGCTGCTGCGGCGACGCCGCATTCGGCAGGGACGGCGAATCCAGTGACGACGGCGCAGAGATCCACGACAGCACCCACGGGCAGCGCGGCCCCGAGCCCTACGGCCGCGGCCGGCGCAGCCCCGACCCCTGCGGCAGCTGGAAAGATGGAGCCCGAATCCGAGATCCAGCGCCGCTGCTGCTGCCCCTGGTCCTCCTCGAGCCTCTGCCCCGCCCACATCTAGCGCTGCTGCCGCTGTTCCCCTCTGTTATGTTTATTCTTCCTCGCCCTTCATATTTGACTGCGAGCTTCGAGGCCCCCTCCCGAGATTATGGGCATCGGCATCTTATGGGCATCGGCATCTGACTTCGTTTTGCTTGCGATTCGGCGGTGCGCCCCCCTCCTCTTCCTCGACCCGCACTCTTCTCCACGCGCCCCGCCCCCCCGCCCATCCCCCCACAGGAGGTGCCCCAGGAGCTGGCTGGCCACGGCGGCGAGACGAACCCAGGCATCGAACGCCCGATCGCCGCCGACGCGCAGCCGCAGCTGGAAGGCAAGCTGCGGCCGAGGGCAGAAAAAAAACGATCTCGTCGATATCGGCGCGGAGGGGGCACTGCGTCGCGGAGACATTCGCGTCGTCGAAGGCCGCGCGCCGAACGACAAGGAATCTCTGCTGACCGAGCTTCATCAAGAGCTGGACGCGATGAACCAAGACGTGCTCTTCAAGGGCGCTGAAGAAAAATCTATGGTGCGCATGAGTCAGGTCCTCACTCAGTTCTTCAACGGCGACCCGGTGGGCATGGCGCAAAAGCTGAGGAAGGAAGATGCGAAGGCTGCAAAAGAAATCGAAAAGGATGACCCGCTCCCCGAGGACGCCGCGAGGGACAAAGCCCTCTTCGAGGAATTGGCCCTTAATACTTATTATTTCACTACGCAGACGACGGCAGGGAATGCGATCGGCTCGCGATGGGCGCGGGCAATTGCGGCGTCAGATAAGCTGAGAAGGAATTATGCGAAATGCCGGGGGTGGGCAGAAAGCCGTGACGTCCGAGCAAAGCGGCACAAGAAGGTGCACAAAAAGCATAAGGCGCGTTGGGAAAAGAGAAAAGAGGAAACGTTCGAGAAGGCCGAGTTGAAGGACGGGGAGTACATCTCCCTCGGCCGCATGGCCTTCCTCGAGGGAGGCGGGTCGGCTGGCCTGAAGGCCGCGTTCAAGTGCGCAGCCAACGCGATTCTGGTAGGGGGTATGTACGTCAAGTGGGACGAGTGGACAGAGTCGGTAAAGTTCCTCTACCTTACACACAGGCTGAGGGAATCGCTCAAGAGGGCATGGAGCACTTTCCAGTCGTGGCAGGGCAAAGGTGACATTGAGGACGCGCAGTTGCCCGCCAACGAGGACGGCGACGACGACGCCTCGACCAAGGCTTCCACGAAGGATGAAGAAGAGGAGGGGGAAGAAGAGGAGGAGGAGGAAGAGGAGGAGGAGGAAGAAGAAGAATAAGAGAAGCCAAAGAGGAAAAACAAGAAAGTGAAAAAGTGCCCAAAGGTCAAGAAAGACAAGACGAAGCAAAAGACGAATAAGGGCAAAGACACTGGAGGCGGCAGGAAGAGCAAGGGCACTAAAGGCGAGAGGAAGGGCAAGGGCACTAACGGCGGCAAGAAGGGCGCTAAAGGCAAGAAGGGCGCTAAAGGCGACAAGGGCACTAAAGGCGGCAAGAGGACTGGCAGGAACGGCACTGAAGACGGCACCAACGGTGACCAGAAGAAGAAGATGGCTTCCACGCCCCCGTGGCTCAAGGAGTTCAGGCAGGTCAAATCTACGTTCGACACGTGCAGCCTGCAGTGCATGAGGATCCACGAGAAGGTAAATAAGGACCCCCAATGGCAGTGGACCAAGAAGTCTGGCACGGAAGACCTGGACAAGGCCAGCGCGAAGGCGCGCACCCACGCCATCCATCCCTCGCCCCTTGGCCACCCTCATCCCGTTTCCGCCCCGATTGTGTTTTTTTCCCTGATCGTCCCAATTATGCATGTCTCCCTGCAGCCGCCCGCTACAGGTTTAACTTTGACATCCCCGCATGTCCCCCCCCCCCGCTTCGCCCCTTTGCTCGCGCGCTCGCGCCGCCCGCTAATAGGTGAATGATCTGCTGCAGAACAACGCCAACATCTCCCGCACCATGAACACCGGAAGCTCCCAGATGAAAAAGGACTCGAAGGAGGTTGGGAGCGGGGCGGGGCAGCGTGGGCAGTGGCAATGGCAGCAATCGCACCCTTCCTATTTCCATCCCTCGCGTCCTCCACTTGGCGCTCTAAAGCAACCCCCTGGCCCTCACCCGCAGGTCGGTGAAGCAAAGTTCCAGCTGAGGGCCAAGAAAGCAACCCAGGTGCTGACGGATCCCCTGAAAGCATTGCAGAAATAATGCAAGACCATGGAAGATATGACGGCCGCGAAGGTGGCAGCAGGCGCTCGAGCATGTATACGCGCACGGCTAGCGGCAGGCAAATATGTCTCGGGTGCGAGGTTCGAGCTCGAGGGGGCCCCTGAGAACAGAATGCGAGACCCAATGGATTAGTTCTGCGAGTAAATTTTAAGATCCAGCGAATGAATTTTGAGCTCCTGCGAATGAGTTCTGATACTGGCGAGTGAATTTTGAGATCCGGCGAATAAATTGTGGCGTCCAGCGAATAATTTTCGAGATCCAGCGAATAATTGTCGAGATCCATCGAATATTTTGCAAGATCCATCGAAAAACATGAAAAATTAGTGGCGAATAAAAAGCGAATAAAAAGGCTAATAAAAGGCGAGCAAGTCCGAATGAAACAACATCAAACCATATATATATATATATATAGATGTACAAACATGACAGTATAAAAGCCGGATGAAAGCCGGGGAAAAGCCGGATAAAAGTCAATACATTGAGAAAGCTGGGGGACTCAGGAAAAAACAAGAAAACATCTCGATAATCGCCTCGAAGATATAGAGTTACATATGCCAGCCGCAATGCCTCTTCCGAGTGCATGGGGTCCAGAAGTCGTTCACGCGCCGCCGAAGGCGCTTGGGCGCTTGGGTAGGTGGCTATGGGTGCATTTGCGCTTCCGCTGTAGGGTAGCGAGAGCGCTAATGTGAATCTCGGCAGGGTGCTGGGATTGAGTGCGCAACTGATTTTGATGCGTGCAGGCCGGTGTGTGTTTGACCTTTGCAAGGCTGCTCCGATACCGATAGCAGCCGAAAGCTTGATAAAAAACGCTTGCTTGTGTTCTGATGGGAGTTGTATACACGCATGTATGCGCGCGCATTTTGTGGCGCACGTGCGCGTGCTCTCCTAAGCCACAGAGCCCAAGCCATGGGGGGGTTTCGGCACGCGCCTTCTCAGCAGTATGTCCGCGACCCTGATGGCATGCAAAAGCGTCGAGCGGGGGCTAAAGCTTTGGACCTTCTACTAGGTATTTATGGGTCCTGCAAACGGATGTCGGCCCAGGACATCGCGGTGCTCTGCCATTATTTTCAAAAGTGCGAGGTGCCAGGTGGCGAGTGGGGGAAATATGCTAAGGAGCCAGGGGACAGCTCGGGCAGCTATAAGAAGCACGTGGACTCCAGATTTCCCAAGCCACCGCTTTATTATGCAGATAAAGTGCCTGCCACCACAAGAAAAGACGCACGAAAGAAAACGATGCAAATCCCATTCCGAAAAGTGCACAGGACCATATACGACGAAGTTGTGGAAAGCGATTATATAGTACAGACGCTGAACGATGGCGATATTGACTCGCCATCGAGTGTAATGAGCCTCCCAGGGTACCTCAACCACCCCCATGTCGTGCGCGCCAGGGAAGCTGGCGAGGACTATCCTCTCCCCCTGGCCCTCTATATGGACGGCGTTCGATATGCGGGCCAAGCAGCAGGACGACACAATGGGGTGGCTCTCGCTTTCCGCCGAGCCCAATTCTAAGACCCGCTCCCCATTGCCCTGGCCCCGAAACCCCATGCAGTGGCAAAAGCGCCCCACATGCGTTGCCCTGGTCTGAATCGCCCAGACCCCGTCAACCCCGAAACCCTTTGACTTATGACTTATCCTCCAGTGGGGGGTCGAAGATAATATCCTCGGCGTGTCAGTCATAAAATTGATGTCGGGCCAACGGCATTTGCTTGGTTTCCGGAGGAAAGATTCGTTGTGCTCGTGCGGGTGCTCAGGGCATTGCTCCGTGCACTCCCTTTTGAAGGTTGCAGCGTGGCAGCTTCGGTGCCTCGTCGACGGCGCCCTCCCAGACCACGTGCACGACGGCGCGGAGATGGGGGGGGTGTAAATTTTGACCCGGGGCCCAGGAAGTTTCCGTTCAAAAGCATGGTGATGTGTATCACGGGCGACTGGTCGGAATACCAACATTCCATGGGTCTAATGCCTTGGGGGTCGATCTACAACTGCTGCCCCCTGCGCACCGTGGCCAAAGATTTGCGGGGCGTCGCGTGCCCAGGGATGGTGTCCAAAGACCATGAGTATTGCGAGGCATGCTCACGGCGAGAACACGCTGTGAACGTTGCGAACGATCGCATTCGCGACGCCCTGGCCGACATTCTCCACGACGACGGGAACGGGAAAGGAAGGGTGCTCAAAAAAGATGTCGATTTGCCCGCCCTGAAGCTGAAGCGAGGCGATCGGCTCGAGCCCTCGGACGAGCTTTTAACGCCAGCTGGATTTGCAAGCACGCAGACACCTTTTAATGCTACTTTTTGGCGGCAGTCTGTGGATAAATACAATAGGGTTATGGATATATGCAGCCACAGGAGCCCGATATTCAACGAAGATCTCGGCGCGTCCCCCGCTCGATCGCTCGCCATCGATGGCCCCCACTCCGTAAATCTCGGCCCGATGCAAAGAGTTACAAGGGTTGCCTTGCAAAGGATTCTAGCTGCAAGCCCATGGAAAGTAAAAGACAGTGTAAGGATCAAGAGACTTGAAGCAGACATGCATTCTTATTTCGATCGCACGCGTCTCCCCCCAGAACGTCGGATCGGGCTGCTGACAGAAAAAATGGTCGGAGGCATATCAGACGACAAAGAGGATAAGGGGGTATCTTGAAGACGAAGGCAGCTGAAACATACACTATGCTACTGTTCACTATTGACAGGTTGAAGGTTTTCAATATTGGTATACACCAGCATGCGTCATTACTGCGCGCTTGCGAGGCCATGGCTGCGTGGGTGCGGCTGACACGAACCGCCCCGACGCAGTTGTCGACTGTGGAGTTCGATATTCTGTTTGCTAGCTGCAATGCATGTTTGGTGAGCGCCGCAGATGCTGGCGTTGCCCCGACGCCAAAATTCCACTTCTTCGCGCACCTCACATGCAGGACCCGCGTTTTGGGGTACCAAGTCTGACGGTGCCCCCCAATCCTCGTTTTGCATGTTGTTATCCTTAGCCTACTCATTCTTCACCGCCCCCTATCCTACTTACCCCGCTCTTCCCCACTCCTCGTCGCCCGCTCGCCCTGTCCACTCTCTCCGATTGCGGCAGCCCGCGGGCGGGGTGGGGGGTGCGAAGAGTGAGCCAATCCTGGATGGCATAGCAGGTGGGGGAGGATGGGGGCGATGTCTCTATAGTGTGTAAACAATCCCCAGAAGCTGGTATCATGGCAACCCGTCCGCGTACGGCACGTTTATCGGCGAGGGGCTTAACCTCGTGCTTCGAACCTGCGCCGAAAGAGCCCACCCCCTGACAATCCATAAGTCGGTTTACTCGTGTTTTCAAAAAATAGGCACCCTAAAAACCAACACCCGCTTGTATGCATCGAGCCCCGTGAAAGACATGGACGAGGAATCCGACAATGGCGAACCTCCTGGAGATGACCAGCCACCAGGGGAACCGCCGCACCCCCCAGGGCCCGCGGCTGAAGGGGAGCAGGGAGGAAGGGAATGAGGATGGAAGGAAGGGAACGGATTGAAGGGAGGAGGGCATGAGGATAATTAAGTGCGTGCGTGCGCGCGCAGAGAAAGCGCGTATCCGAATATAGGATGCAGGAGTGTTTGAATGAGTTGTCAATCCGCAATAAACACGCGACCATGTTGACTGCACCTGCGCGCGAAAATCACACGCACGCGCGCGGGGGGAAAGGGGGGGGGGGCGAGGCTGGGCTTGTTTCCTGGCCAGGAGCTGGGAAACGGGATCGGCGAGACCGACGCCCTCGCGGGGAAGAACCAGACGCCTTGGGGTATCTGCCGAAGAAACCGCGCGCCGCTGACTGGCGGCGCAAGTTGGTCATACTTTGAGCAGGCGCCGAAAAGATGCGGACAACATAGGGGGCCCCGCTGCTTTGCTCCTACCGCCGCCCCCTATCATTTCTAACTTTCCTCGCCGCCATCGGCCCAAAGTTGACCTCGACCCAGGGGGCGGGGCGCGTAACCCAGGGGTAGAGATGTCCTGGTCTGGTCTCACCAAAGAAGCTGCTGAGGCTCTGCGAAAGGTGCCCGTGGACGCGGACCCAGAAGAAGTGCTGAAAAGCTTGGGGCGACAGGGGGTTCCGATATGGTTGGGATCGCATGCAAAATTACTTATAAAGACCTTACCATTCCCACCATTTCCTCTGTCCCGTGTCTCACCTTGGTTCGCTCCCGAGGTCGCCCAAGGATGACGCCCAGCTGACCGGCGCCGAAGGGGGGAAAAACGGGGCGACCAGCTCGAATACGAAAAGAACCAGATCGAGAAAACGCTCCGTGAGTCGGCGGAAGGTGAAAAGAAGGCCCTCGAAAGGCTCCGAGCCAAACTGAAACATATCGAAGAGCAGGGGGATGCCGATGGTGCTGGGGGTAACCAAACTATAAATCGATCTTTCAGTCGATGAAATTATTGCCAGCAGGAGGGAACGCGGGAAGAGGGATGGGGGCGGGTGGCGATTGGGGGCATGGCGGAGGGAACAACAACGTGGAGGGTTGAGAGA